GGGGGGGGGAAAGAGTGATCAGGATTTTGAGTTTGTCACATGCAGGATGGGGTCGAACACCAAGGGATCCCATCTCTCATCTAAAAACCTGCAAAATGGTCCCATGGGAATGATTTGGAAGCTGAATAAGAGGAGATTTCTGTCCTCACGGGATCCACTGCACCCATAATTACCCTACACCGGGGGCGGGGGCAGGGACTGGCCTTCAGTCAACAAAACATGCACTTTGCCAGCTCTCATTCCAAGAAGTGCTGGAGAAATCTCTTCGACTCACATCCCCTTGTCACGGCTGCAGGTTTGGATTGAATTAAATTAGCTTCACTGTCACATACACTGTCACTGTTCTCCTTTAAAAGTCACCCCTTCAGATTCAAGAGAAAGATGACAATTTTGACATTGGCGAATGGGAACCAAACTCTCGCCCACCTCTGACAAGCCCTGCTATCCCCTACACCCAATTCCCACCACAACGAGCTGGTGGGAACGGCTTGCGAGCTGATCATAAAACTCAACTTTTTGTTTTGGTTGAAAAGAAAAGTTTCTAAAACATATTCAGACTCATCACGGAAGCCGCGCTAATCGATCTATCTTTCTGACACAAATCGGAGAGATTCCCCCCGCCCACCAACTCCTTTCCCCTCCTCACCCCCACCCCCCCAACTTTGATGTGCCACCCCAAACACAGAGCGGGCACAGCAAACCTACCAGCCCACTGCATCTCTCCTGCCAACTTGACAATTCAACAGCCTCATGCCCCATCAGAGAAACAGGAGCAAGGAGCAGGCCATCCATGACTTGATCATCCAACTCGTGGTTAATCATCTCAACCTCACACTCCCCACACTAACCCCGTTCCCCTCCGATTTTCCGAGCATCCAAAACTCTCTGTCAGAATTTACCCAACACTGAGCCTCCACAAACCTTCTGGCGTAAAAAGAACTCCAAAAATTCAACAGCCTCTGAGGGGGGTGGAATTCTCCTTATCTCACTCTGAACAGCCATCTGAGACTCCAACTCCACGACATTAACAAGGGAAGCACTTTCACATTTGGTAGAGAACTCGATAGGTTAATACTCCCTGCGGCGGGAGCCAGGATTCTGTATGTTGCAATGAGAACACATGCCCCCCAACCCCCCTCCCAAAATTCTCCCATATTTGAGGGAACTTGCACATAAATAAATCACCAGCAATTTCAGACAGCAATAGTACCGAATGATACCGCAATGTGAAGGGCACCCAACCTCTCTATCTATCCCTGACAAACATGATGGAACCCCTTCCTCTTAGACACCCCAATGGACCCCCCTCTTCCTCCGCCTGATGAATCCATCTCCCCACCCGCTCCCGATCTCTGTGGAAGTGTCGCTCTCTTTCTCTCTCCATCCCTCCCTCAGTCCCCATCACGTTAATCCTCCTTCTCCCCATCCCTCTATCATTCCCACTCCATCCCTCTCTCTCCCTGTATCATTCTCCCCCATCACCCTCTCCAGCATTTCCCCCCCCATCGTGCTGCCTGTCTCCCCTCCCTTTTTCACCCCCTTCCCCCATCGCTCTATCCCTCTCTCTCTCATTCCCCACTCTCTCTCTTCCA